GCTCGGGAACTTGCCCTTGGTGCGCCTGTCGACAGCTCAGCTGCCGAACCAGCCCCTGGTCCTGCCTCTACCCCAGCCGGTTAGGTAGGACTTCCCGGGTACTCGGCGCCTGCTTCTCTGACTTTTTGCAGATCTCGTCGGCGGGAGCACAGTCTTTAGTTCGCAGGGTCACAGAAACAGCAGCATCGCTCATTCTCAACCACGCCGGGTTTGCACCTGCCACGCTGGACTCAAAATGCCCTTCCCAGGCGCTCGAAATTGCTGTCCAGGACCGTGCCCTCCTGCTACCCCGCCGAGGATTCTCTGTTGGGAAAAGTAAGCTAAAACTCAGTTGACAGGGATTCAGAAATGTTCCGTCTCTGTGTAGTATAAGTACATGAACTCTAGGTTTCAGATTGTTTTTGAATTGACTCTGAAGTTAAAGTGCACGCCTCTAAATTTGAGTCATTTATAGGAAAATGGATGCCCCTTGAGGCGCTAATGTGAAGTGAAATAAATCAGACACACAAATTTAAATATCGCATGGTTCTTTTATATGAGAATCTCGCAGTATAAGTAGAAGAGCAAAATAAAAAAATAGGTAATAGGAAACAGATCTCTTTGCAAATTCGTAGGGGACCAAGAGATGGAGGGAGGAAGGAGAGAGGAAAGAGAACCTAAAAATTAAGATGTGTTATTTATGTGTTATGTACGTGTACAACTCTCCGTGATGAATGTACTGCAAACATGTACTAATAAAAATAATTTTTAAAAAGAAGCTTTGCAAGACAAAAAAGGGTGTGCGTTTGACTGATATCCCTTAAAGAACTCTGTGTTTCTCAAGAAAAGGAAATCAGTTTGAGGTGAAAAAATCTAAGTACAAACAGATTAATACCTGTGATTATGTGTCTGCTTTGGTATCAAGAAGAATTTAAATTTCTGCGTTTTTTTTTTTTTCTTTCTGAGCAAAATAATGATAAAGAGTACTATAAAATACATGCAAACAATTTACATGGTGGTCTAGGACCAGCGCTCCAAATTCCAATCTACTGTATGGATCCATCGACACAGGATCTTTAATTGTTACACTAACTTTCACTATTCTTTTTCCATTAGATTGTGGTAGCTGTGGACTTGGCCTAATGCAGCCATCCAAACCTACGGATATAAAAGCTATGATATGTCAAGATTTGGAACAAGCAGAAAGCCATAGGAAATAAAAATGGAAAATTTGAAGGTGACCCAGAATTAATATGGACAAGTAGTTTTTTTGTTAGGTTTGTTTTTTTTTGAGACACTGTCTCTCTGTATGGTCTAAGCTGGCCTCGAACTCACTGTGTAGCATAGGCTTGCACCAGTCCTCCTTTGTCAGCCTCCTGAGTGCTAGGATTACAGGCCTGTGTAAAACTTGATCATCCTGAGGAACAAATCTATAAATTCACTGATTATGTTTTGAAGACTATCTCTAGATTTTTGGAAATTAAAGATTCATTATATTCCTATATCAAATATGACTGATTTCTATGTACAATAATGATTTCTATGCTTTTTGAGAACAAACTCCATTTTTAATTTTCCTTTTTCTTTTTCATAATGTGTCAGGTATTGTTGAAAATACTATCTGCTCACCAAGTCCATTTATGGTTCTTCTCCTTCTTCAGCAAAAGTTATATTAATATTTTCCAGCCTCCCCTGCAGTTGGATGTAGCCTTTAGGTTTAGTCCCTTAAAACCAACAAACAACAATAAAAACTTCCGCAAGCTATGTCCCATGATCATTTCCCTTGTATGTTCTGTGGCCATATACTAAAGATAACAGAAACGCAACTTAGGAGTCCAAGTCTCAGACTTACTTCAAGCAGAGCCACCCACCCATTAGGAATGCCTGTTTTGGATTTACATGAGCACAGTAAACTATTTAGCTAGCCTTATTCTAAATGACATACTGGGGACTCCTTAATGAACAACACAGAGATCCTTGCATTTGAGTATCTCACAGTCTACCTCTTGGCAGCACAATTTGTAATCATCTTGTCTGCTTGCTTTTTTATTAATTGTTTCCTTCATAAAAGCAGGGACTTCATTTGACTGTACACACCTATGTACCTAGCATCTACAATATTGCTGACATAGGACAGGCATTTGATATAAATTTGTTAAGTAAAAACTTGAACAAATGAAAGACGCTGGGCTAAGTCAAGCACAATATGCTGTTGTGGAACTTACAGTAGGTAGTAGGAAAAGAGATACAGTATTTAACAGATCACTAGTGAGTATATAATTATAGATCTGTAAAGTATAGTTAAAGAGTGCTAGAAGACAATCTGCTTTAGATTATGGATTTAGGGATGTATTCCTAAAAGAAGTGATAGTTAAACTGAGACCTGAAGGAAGAAGAAAAAATTAACTAAGTCAGTGTATGGGGATGGGGGAAGCTTGGCAAGTTCAGGAAACAAAAATAGTATGGCTAAAAATTAGGATAAGGGGAAAATGTTACCAGTGAGGATGAAGAGGGAGCTAGAAGCAGATCATATGGAATCTTGTTGGCTCTGTTATAGATTTGAGATTTCATCCCAATGGCAGTGGAAATCCTTTGAAAGTTTTTCAGTAAGGGATGAAGTGATAAAATCGGTGATTTTTAAAAATACCCCAACACTCTGGGAGCCTGAAATGGGATTTCAAGTTTGAACCCAGGTTAGACAACATAGCAATTTAGTAAGTCGCTATATTAAGAACAAAAACCAAACCATACACACACACACACACACACGCACACACACACACACACACACACACACAGTGTAGAAAATGGAGGGGGAGCAAGAGGGAGTGAGAACGGTGAGGAGTTGATTAAAACAGGATGGCTTGGTCTAGGATCTAAGGCTTCCAGGTGTGCTTGACTTCAACAGACCAGTGGTGGCAGTGGAGCTGGAACAAAATGGCCAGACTTGAGACACTTTTGTGGAAGAATGGTTAGAACTTTTGCCTTGGCATGCAGGTGAATGAGAGAAAGAGGTCACAAATGAATGCCAGGTTTCTAATGAGAACCAGTGAATGGATAGAAATGCCCTTTGTAGAGATGGGCTAGGCTCGAACAGGAGCAGATTTGAGGGTGAGAGTTACGCTTTTCAATTTTAGAAGAATCGGCTCCTTTGAGATATGACTGACCTTTTCAGAAGGAATGATTTTCACCCTTCTTTTGTGAGAGGACATTTTCTCTTCCTCCCTTGCTAGGATCTCTGAAAGGAGTGAGTTGTAGATAACCTTGGGAAGTAGGCACCCCACCCACATGTTAACTCTGACCTAAAACTAATGTAGGATTAGATTCTAGAATAAAGCTGACATGCTTGAAAGATAAAGAGAGGAAGAATATTTTCAAGCTTTTATTAACAAGTATTCAGAGGGTACCAGGCTCAGGCAATTTTTACATGAAATTATGGGTACATTTCCCTGTGTATGTGTTTCCTTTTATGTTTTATTAGTTTTGTTTGATGCTTATACAATTATTCAGATAAATCCAATCTCAGTATTCACTTGGATTTGACTCCTTGCACTTTTCAAAATATATGAATTGTATCTCTGAACTTCTGAAATGCCTGTCATCCTGTAAATTTTAAAGTAACTTTTCTTATACATACTTTCCTCAGTCCATTTTGTCACTCAGTCTATAATTTCACCTTCTTATCACCTAATAATCTGCTTTACTTTCCCTTTCATCTATAACTTGCTATACATTGACTGCTTTGACTTTTCTCTTTGGGTAATTTTCCCACTTTGGTTCCAAAAGAGTCAAATAATATCAAACGATGATTTGAGTTGTAGTGTCTGTTGTTGGTGTGTTTTACTATCATCCTTCTAAATATTGAGATAAACTCAGTGTAACATGAAAATTAAAATCTGAATTAAAAATTTTTTTGGGTTTTTCTTTTTGTCTTTTTCAGACAGGGTTTCACTATGCACTTCAGGCCGGCCTTGAACTTACTTTGTAGCCCAGGCTGGCCTTGAACTCACAATGATCCTCTTGCCTCAACTTCCCAAGTGAAAAAATTTTTTGTGTGTACTGGGATTTGAACCCAGGATCTTCACACTGAGCTACATTCCCAGCCCTTTATTTTTTATTTTTTGAGAAAGGGTCTCATTGAGTTGCTAAGTTGCTGTACATTTGACTCAAAACAAAATAAAATACTATGATGACTCTCATGATTCTCAGTTCTTAGAGCTTTCAAAACATTCCTCAGTCTGACTCCTGAATTCTGCAGGGGAGGGAAAAATATTCTTTTTCCCTGTACTCAGAGTAGATGAGTAGTTGGGTGGAGCCTGCAAATTGGATTAACAAAACATACACTAGTTTATTTGTTTATTGCATGTACACATGCAAACACTCAAATAACTCAAGGGTATGCTTAAAACTTATATAGCGTCTTAGTAAAGAACAGTAAATCTATTGGTCTGCCTTTGATTGCTGGGACAAAATACCTGACAACCACAACTTCTAATAGGAGAAGAAGTTTATTTTTAGCTATTTATGAGGTTTCAGTCCATGGCCAGCCAGCTCCAAAGCAGAAACATCATGGTGGAAGGACATAGCATAGGAACGGTGCTCAACTCATGGCACCCAGGAAGCAGAACATAGAGAAGGAGACAGAGAAAGGGTCAGGGGCCAGGGGCTAGCCAAAGCTCCTGTTATGGTTTATTTCTGTGTGTCCCCCCAAAGCCTCAAGCGGCCATGGGGCAGGCTTTTAGAGTTTGATGGGTGTGAGAGCTATACCCACCCTGGGATGGATAGTTTGCATATGTAAGGGAGAGGAAAAGGGTGCTTGAGGCGATTCCTCCCCCATTCCTCCCTGGTGTGTGCTTGCTGCTTTTGCTGTGTTCTGTCACCCTGAGCTGTAGCTCTCTGCCATGTGCCACTCTGCCTTCTAATCTGCCAAGTACCGACTGAAACCTTCACAAACTGTAAGCGAAATAAACTTTTCCTTCCTTAATTTTGGGCATCAAGTATTTTGTCCCAGCAGTGAGAAAAAAGTAACTAAGACAGCTCCCAAGGTCATGCACTCCCCACTTCCTCCAACTGGGCTGTACCTCCTAATAGCCCATACAGCTATGAACTCAATGGGTTAACCCATCATTGAGGTTTAGTGCCTTCACAATTCAGTCATCCCTCCAGGAGTGTCTTAGTCCAGTCACATTGACAATCAAGAGCAACAGGCACAAAATATTTAGAGAGGTGACAAGATAGGAAAAGATAGAGTTCTTAGTATAGCCAATTTGGGAAATTAAATTTAGGGGAAAACAGTGGAGGATAGAGCCTAATAGTCAATTTTGCTATATAAATTCCTGTCTTAGTTACTTTTCTCTTTGCTGAGACAAAGTACCCGACACTCGGAGTTAAAGGAGGAAAGATTTATTGTAGCTCACAGTTCGTAGAAGTTTCAGTTCACAGTTGACTGGTTCCGAGGTAGGGCAGCACAGCAGAAAGGTGTCACACAGTAGAAATAGTTCATGGTGGGCAGAAGGCAGAAAGGCAGCAAAGTAGCAAATGACAAGCAACCACAGCAGCCCCCTTTGTGTTCCTTATATTCTAGCCAGGCTACCTCCCCTTAGGGCAGGTAGCACTCACATCCAGAGTGGGGCACTCTTCATCCTAGTAGTGCACCAAGAATCAATCCTAGCATCACACACTCTAGATCCAGCCACCTCCCAAAACCTCTGAGTACATGAGGCTTTGGGGGACATCTAGACACAAACCATAACAATTCCTCTGGTAGGGTCTTTATGCTGATAGAGGTCTAGACTTGTCTCCACTAATTAGCTTCTATCCTTCCATGTCCAGAGGGGAGGTGACCTTTAAAAATTTATGTCCTGATTTTAGGCAAATAAGGGAAGAGTTGGGAGATTTTTCTTGTATCTGCTTCTTAATTGCCTTCAGTTCAAAATAATCAGTACACCAAAGTGGTTGTTTTAGGGTGGCATATAAAGCCACCCTTCACTTTTCAACTAATTCCCTATAGTAATGATAATAGTTAACATTTATCTAAAGTTTATTATGAGCCAGGTATGACAACCAAACGTTAATGTTTTGCAGAATAATAAAATTGAAAGCATATGCTCTTAAATTTTCTTAGAAATTTTGAAGTGTGCTATTCTCTATGCAGGTAAAAAGTACTCATTTTCAATCCATAGTACTATTCTCTACTTTCATGTACACATTGTTCTAATTTTTCTTGTAAAGTCATACTAATGATAGCTCTTACTCATTAGTTATATAGGTGGCATGAAACTCTTAAGATGCTTAATCTTTTTTTTGAGACAGGGTCTCACTGTGCAGTTCAGGTTGGCTTTGAGCTCAATTTGTAGCCCAGGCTGGTCTTGAACTTGCAACAATCCCCTTGCTTTAGCCTCAAGTGCTGGGATTATAGATGTGTGCCACCATGCCCGGCTAAAATGCTTAATCCTATACAATTTGGTGACATATATTACTAACTTTTCACAGAGATAAAAAAGGTTAGAGAAGTCAATTGTCCAAGTTTACAATATAGCAGAGCCAAATATAAATCTACTTTTATCACTTGCTAAAGTTTACATATACTCTTACCAATGTTTTGTCTTCTTCCCTTAGTTGCATTTTTGCATATATTCATTTGAAAATGGCTTTTCATCAGTACTGTAGTATTGTCATTTCAATGCAGAATCACATCTTCTCTTTCTTTTAAGACTACTGTAAACAGCAAGTAAATTGAACTGAGTTTTAAATATTAATAAGTGGA